ATGAAGACAGCTGGGGTGTACGTATCCTGTGGAAACTTATTCTGGCTGAATGTCAGGGGCATGACATCTCCAAAAGTTCCAATCAACTCAGCCAGCTTGGAGAAAATCCAGAAGACCTTCTTTCAGAAGGGGGTTGAAAAGTTGGGCGTCGAGATTGTGGTGGGGGCGCCTCGCAACTGCGACAAAGACAAGTTCATGCAGCTTCAGGGCAACTTGATGCGCATCTCTCCCGAGGAGGTGGATCACTCCCTGATTCTACATGTGGCCCACAGAATCAGCAGTGGTGCTAGCGAAGAAGAGTTGCTGTAGCTTGATTTGCATTACCAATCCACCCACATGTTTTTTCTTGCCCAATCTCAGGGAACTTGTATGTTGGGATTTCTGATGATATATCCAACTTGAACCCAGGGGATGGCGCACCGTGTTCCTCTCCATCTCATTGCGGTGTGAGATCATCGAGACGAAGGAGGACGCCTTCTTCAGGCAGATGACCTTGCGTCAGCGATATATCGCGACGTACGAAGCATGCAGTCGCAGTACTGTTCAGACGATCTTTGAAATCGCAGCCCTCAAAGCAGCATACGAGGCAACACATACGGCGCACTTGTCAAGGGCGGAGCTCGCAGACCTTTGGGTCAGGAAAACCTACGACCTTTCAGATTCAGACGAGGCGCCAAAGACAGCGTTTGAACTGGTCGACTCGGCCATGAAAATTTACGACAGGATGCTGAGTGACAATGACCTCTTCTTGAAGGTGCACTCTCTAGAGTTGAAATTCGGGAAGAAAAGTTGCTGGAGACACATGAGCACCTTGGAGGCCGTGGTCATGAAGTGCAAAAAGAAAGAAGAAATGATGTGGATCCTGGCAACTATCGAAGATCTGTTGCTCCGTGGTGAGGCATCCAACTCACAGTTTTCCAGCCGAAGCCTCAAAGGAGGGAAAACTGGTGGCGGGTCCCGAGGACTGATGGATGAATGGCTTGCTAAGCGCAACATCCTTCTGTGGCTCTTCGCTGATTTTGGCACCCATGGATTGCCGTCTGAGATGTGTATGTCCTTGAGTAAGATCTTCGAAACCCACACCAATGTTCGAGAAAAGCTCCTCGTTGGTATGATAGGGTTGGCTGGCGTGTTCATGCATGCATGTTCCATTTTCGAAACGAACAACGTACCGCCATCATAACTGATAGATGTCTAAATTTACCTTGTGGGTGCCATGCGTGTTCCAAGGTTCAGCACGGGTGCCGACTTGTCATGGCTGGGTCAGCTCACAGAAGTGGAGCGCCTGGCAATCGACTTTGTGAAGAATGTGGTGTTTGGATCCCAGCACGACTCTCATCTTCGAAATGCTTTGAAGGGGGCCACCAAGCCAGAAGACTTGCTTGCCAACGAGCCTTTCAAGCCCTTGCTTGACCAGATCCACACTGAGATCACCAAACTGGTCAAGGCTGAAGATGCAGAGGAAGCGAGTGAGGAAGAGAATGAACCCTTGCTCCATGACATTCTGGGTGAGATGATTGATGAGTCTGACGAGTCAGCCGCTGATCTGCTTCGTTATGCCAAACAAGCAGAGGAGATTGTCGACCAATTTGCCAAGATCATCGTTGAGCAGGATTCGAACTCAGGCATGGCCCGTGTGCTGGAGGCTTGCGCAACCAGCACGACTGGAAGGTGGGCTGTTCTGATTTATGACACCAAGACAGCAGGTGAAGCCACTGCCCAACCGCATGTCAGACGGCCGCAGTTCCGTCGGGAGCATTTTACAAAGGTCCTCAGTGCCTTTGTCAAGTCCCGTGGAGGAGATCAGTTGGAGCGAGATGACATTATCCTCTTCTTTGACGGCGGCAGGCAGCTGGCGCCCATGATGATGTCATGCTGCGTCCGTCAGGGTGGTGATGACAACCACGGACGCCACTTTGACAACAAAACCCGCCTAGAGCTCGTGGTGCACTACGATGAGGTGAGTCTGCGAAGCAGGAAGACTCTTCAAAGAGGAATGCTTCAAACGCATGAATCCTTGCATTTGGTGAGCAATGGTGTTGCCTCCGTGCAGGACAAGCCCCGGCTGATCTACAGTGGCAGCAGTCTTGCAAGTTCCATCGGCCCAGTGAAAGTGGATGCCGTTGAAGGTGACAATGAGGAAGTGTGGCTCCTGCCAAAGGAGGAAAAAGATCAAATCTATGGTCCCTCAGGGAAGGTGCTGTCTGGAGGTGCCCTTGAGGGGGAATGCCCAGAGCGCCCTTCTTTCAAAGATGACCGGCAGATGGTCAGCTACCATGGGATGCCCCGCGCCCTTTACAGTGAGCTGATTCACTCCTTTGATGCAAATTTGATGGTTGCTGCCACAGATGTGGAGGGGAAGGTAGCGGAGGCATGCATCTTGGCCAAGCGGCCGTGTATCTCCATATGCTTCACGGACTTCCATGCCAGTGAACTTCGCAAACGCTTGATTCGGTGGGTGTGGGCGCAGTTTCAGGATCAGAGTTCCTCATTGTACAATGTGAACGCGCAGCTCTTGATCAAGAAGCAGAAGGCCGCCAACTCCGATGAGTCTAATGCTACTGGTGGATCGACTAGCACGCCGGCCAACACCAGCAAGGGTGGCAAGGGTGGCAAGGGTGGCAAGGGTGGCAAGGGTGGCAAGGGTGGCAAGGGTGGCAAGGGTGGCAAAGGCAAAGGTGGGAAGGGTGGCAAGGGTGGCAAGCCCGCACCCGAAAAGCGCGATCCCCCTGCTCAGGCTGAAGGGTCTGAGCCCCCTGCCAAGAAGGCCAAGGCCGATGATGAAGCCGCGAAGAAGCGCGAGGAGATTTTGGCGAAGCTGAAAGGTCTTCAAGGAGGCATGAGCTTGGTGGATGATGATGACGACGGTGAGGACGAGTGAAGCATTGAAGTGTAACCCCAGTCACATTTTGTGACCCGGCAGCGCCCCCCATGATTTCAATGTTGTTTCGATGCAACTAGATAAGAACGGTCAGGCAATTTCCAACTTCTTTGGTTGCCATTGTATGGGAGCATTTTCTGCCAAAATTCTGCGGACAGCAGGGAGCATGTCTCGCAGTCAATCCTTAATCCCATGAAAAGCACGCAAGCCCTCACCGGATCGAATTGTGCTGAGTAGTGGCCTTACGAGTGCTGTCACCGATGGTTTGTTGAATCATTCAGAAAGAGTGATAAAGAATCATACCTTGAAATATTTCGGTACAACTGTTGTTTGCAATCAGTGACAGCCCGTTACTGAGAGCAAGGGCCCAGCAGAGCCAGCCGTGTGCTGAAGTTACGGCTGGCTCGATTACTGTGATCAATGCGATGGCAGGGCCAGCAAAATGTCGCAATTCTTTGTGCGTTTTCTGTGTTTTACAACGTCAGCGCCGTGATGGCGCTCCAATGGCAGAGTGATGGTGTGTGCATTTGCAATGCGGTGCCAGGTTGAGACGGGCTGCCATGCAGGTGTCCGGGGTGCTCAGACGAATCATGATGAATCCAAGTGCCATTATAAAGTTTTGTCAAGGGTGCCCCTGGCACATTCAGAACTACAAGTAAACAGTTTTTTCCATGGAAGCTTTGTCGGCCCAAATTACGACCGGCCGGGCCGAATCTGATATTTTTGAAGCTATGGCGACCGGTCAGAAACGAAAGGCTCCAGAGGGAGAGGAGGGGCCTGATCGAGCTTTGATTGTGAAGAAGCATTGGTGTGAACAGATCTTCCACAACACCAAGGTTTGGGAAATCAGATCGAAGCCCATCAGCCGCAGTCTGTGGGGAAGGATTTGCATCGCCCAGTCCAAGGCCAAGCAGCTTGTGGGGGAGGTTGACATCGTTGACTGCATCAGGGTCGGGCGCAGAAGTGAAACTGGACAATTCATCCCGTGGACAGACAGTCCAGATGACCTTCGCAATTTCATTGGCTCCCCAGAAAATTTGCACAAGCATTGCATCGCCGACCTGGCAACCATTCCATATCCAAAGCTTTATGCGTGGGTCATGGACAACAAGGAACGCTATTCCGAGCCAAAGGATTTTGAGATGCCCCGCGGTGCCGTGGTCTGGGTGAATCTGAAGAAGCGCGCTAAGGCTGCCACGGGCAGTTCAAGGGCCTAAGGGGACTGAATTTTTGAGATTGATCCAAAAAGATTGCTCTCTGGACGCCGTGATGGCGTGACGCTGTGATGGGGTTGCGTAATGATATTCCGATCATAACTTTTATTGTAGTTGAACAATGGGTTTTATTTCAGAAAATAGCAGATATATAACAACTTCAGATTCATGTGAATATCAAGATACTTGCATCACTACAGTAAGCCAGTTTGAAAGTAGAGCTAAACCTGAGGGGTTGCCATGCGCTGACAGCTTTAAGGTTGGTACATCCAGCACTTGGGATGCCTTCGATGCTTGCGCCTTAGCATCTGCCGCTGTGTGCAAAAGTGTTTCAAAATCATTGCTCCAATTGATCAATGATAATATAGGGACTCAGCAGTGATCATCACTAGAACCATCGCCAATCGTGTTTTTTTTGCTTGTCGCTTGGTTTTTTTTGCGCTGTGATGGCGCTGATGAACATGTCACTTGCCTTTTTTGCGCTGTGATGGCGCTAAAAACACAGCATGTTGTGTGGAGGGCATGATGGCCCAAGATTTTGTTCAGCACTCTGAACTTCGATGTACGCGCGTGGGAAACACATAAATTTTCTGAACACCTGAAAGCCATCCACTTTCAGACTCCCACCCATTAGACTCACTTCGATCACTCATGACCATGACCATCACCATCATCATCACCATCATCACCATCGTCGCCATGACCATCATCACCATCATCACCATCATCCTCATCATCATCATCATCACCATCACCATCATCACCATCAGCAGCGTCGTTCTATCCATTAGACTCAATTGCCATTACTTACTATCAAAACGTCATTGCGCAGGTGTCATCACTCACCACTAAAACAGATTCCTCGTTTCACTCGTTTCACCGCACATGCAGCCGCGCAGCCAGCCATGCCGCGGGTAGAGGCGCCAAAGGATGAGAAGCCAAAAGAAGAGGGGCACGAGCCAAAGAATGAGGAGCCAAAGAAAGATCTGAAGAAGGGGCACGAGCCAAAGAATGAGGAGCCAAAGAAAGAAGATGCGAAGAAGGGGCGCGAGCCAAAGAATGAGAAGGCAAAGAAAGAAGATGCGAAGAAGGAGCAGGAGCCAAGGAATGACAAAGCAGAGAAGCAAAAGCCAAAGAAGGACCAGAAGCCACAGAATGAAAAAGCGAAAGCAGAGAAACATGAGCCGAAGAAAAAAGCCCATCTGCCGCAGCCGAGGCATCTGAATCTGCAGCTGCAGCCGAAGCATCCGCAGCCGAAGCAGATGCCACAGCAGCCGAAGCAGATGCCACAGCAGCAGCAGCAGCAGGCCCCACCGCCACCCAAAACGCCGCCACCCAAGACTGCGGCAAAGACGCCGCCACCGGCATCTGCCCCACCGCCACTGGCAGCGCCATCTGCCCCACCACCGCCAAGCCAGGCATCCCCGGTCACGCCGCCCAAGCAGCAGTGGTCGTCATGGGGGCGGCAAGACTGGAAAGAATGGAAGTCGTGGAAAGATTGGAAATGGGAAGAAGAAGAAGAGAGGAAAAGGGAAGAAAGAAAGAAATGGGAAGATTGGGAAGAAAAGAAGAAGAAGGAAGCAGCAGCTGCTGCAGAGAGGAAGCAGCAGCTGCTGCAGCAAGAAAGAAGAGCTGCGCAGCAAGCCGCGCAGCAAGCCGCGCAGCAGCAGCAGCAGCAGCAGCAGCAGCAAGCCGCGCAGCAAGCTGCGCAGCAAGCCGCACAGCAGCAGCAGCAGCAGCAGCAAGCTGCGCAGCAAGCGGCGCAGCAAGCGGCGCAGCAAGCGGCGCAGCAGCAGCAGCAGCGGCTGCAGCAAGAGGCGGAGCAAGCCGCGCAGCAAGCCGCGCACCAGCAGAAGCAGATGCAGCAGGCGGCCCAGCAAGCGTCCCAGCAAGCGGCTTGGCAGTCACAAGTAGCCTTGTGGCATGTGCAGCAACAGCTGCAGCAGCAGCAGGACCAACAGCTGCTCCAGCACCAGAAGCAGCAGCAGGAGCAGCAGCTGCAGCAGAAGGAGCAGCCACATGCAGCGGCACACCCAGCGGCAGAGCCAGAAAGCAGCAGCAGACCCAGCGGCAACCGAACTTGGAACCAGTGGAAGCACAAAGCGGAACGGGAGGCCGGGCGGTGGGCTGACGTCAGACAGCAATGCCAGGAACTCAAAGAGGCGCGGAAGGGTTGGGGTTGGCGCCATGGCGATGGTGTCGTGTCGAAGGGGCTTTGTTGTCGCCGTGATGGCGCTTTATTGTCGCCGTGATGGCGCTTTACTGTCACCGTGATGGTGATTGTAAGTCAAGAAACATGCACACATTTTGACCATCTTGCTTTTGCCAGGAGAAGAGGAAATTGAAGGCGCAGCTGCAGGAGGTGCAGGAGGAGAAGCTTTTTATGGAAGAAAAAGCCAAGGAAGCAAGGGTGAAAACTCTAGAGCTCCAGGACAGGCTGAATGAAGCGATGCTGGGCCAGAAGCAGGTCGGGCAGGCGCTGGATGAGGCCATCAAGGAAGGGGTTAAGCGGCAGAAGTTGCTGGAGGAGGAAATGGAGCAGGTCAGAAGGGCGGCTCAGGAAAAAGTGAAGGAAGCCGACCTGGAGGTGGTGCGGGTGAGGACCCTGGCCAAGAAAGAAGCCGAGGAAGTTGCGAAGGAGCTTGAGGGGCAGCTGGAGGACGTGAAAAGGGAGGCCGCATGCAGAGAGAAGCAACTTGAGGACAAGCTGCAGCGGGCAAAGGAAAAGGCAAAGGACGCGACAGAGCGGGAGGAGAAGCTCGAAAGGAAACTCCAGCGAGTAAAAGAGAAGCTGGCCAAGAAGGACAAGGGGCCCCAGGAAGAAAGGGATCCGAAGGATGAGAAGGACAAAGAGCAGAGCAAGAAGAGAAAGAAAGACGATGACCAGAAGGACGCCAAGGAGAAGAGCAGCAGGAGAGAAGATTGATGATGGCTGGCTGAGCGACCCGTGCAGTTAGCCTAATTTGAACTTTGGTTGCGGCAAAATTCCAGGACAAACCAGAATCCTTCCAGGTGAGTAATCATCTCTAAACTTTCAGCCCAACCAAATTTCAGAATCAGGCATGTCAATCTGACATCCTCATGTGCCAAGTGTACATGGCGGGCTGAGAGAGCTCAAGCGTACATGGCTGGCTGTAGCGTGCTGTGCTAATCCCATTTTGTACAGATGGCTTAAATTTGGTTCTTATATTGACTTTCTGTAACTGAGTTTCGCGAGCTGAATCATCTATGAATATGGAATATTAAAGTTCAAATCATAATATACCGCATCAATCCCAACCAAATTTAAGCCTGCAATCCTCCGTGTGCCAACCAGACCAGGCCACGTGAGCCAAAAAAACATGTCCGCATATGTCCGCTATGTCGCCGTGATGGCGAAGTATCTACATTGATTGCTGTCACTTGTTGCAGAGAAACCGCCCTTGGAGCTGAGGTTGGCACGCTTCTTGGGCAGATAGCGCTGGCCTCAGATGGGTCAAAGGCGGCAAACATGTTCGACCTTGGAGTCTTTGGCTAGGCAGCCCAAAACGTATCAGATTTTTTTAAATCAAAACAGTTATCCAATCATCCCTTCACTAGTCAAAAAGCGTTTGCCCAGTTGCTGAGATGACACTATTTCATTCTTAATCACAATTATTCATTGAATCTGCACGGCAATTGCTTTTTCCGCGTTTCGATCATTGCTGAAATCTCAGTATACATTTCCTCAGCTGTACATGGTTTTCAAGCTTTTCTTCAAGCGCATGTTGGAGTTCAAAGCCTGTCCTGCTTGCAACTGGTTCAGCTGGCCATAAAGATCATAAGTACGTTTATGGGAAATCCGAGCGAAACTCATCCCAACATCTGCTGGGACATTGTGGCTCTTGAGCATGTTTATCATGGAATGCCGCCCTGAATGTGACCGTATCTTCTCAGAGCCACTGACTGGAAATGTGTTCCGTATCTTTTTGATGGCGTGACACACAATGTCTTTCTTGAGATGTGACTTGCCAGAGCGGTCAGGGAATAGGTATTTCTGTCCTGAAGGCCACATCCAGCTGTCTTGGAAGCTCACCTGTCCACGGACTCCACAATTTCTCTTGCGTCTGACAGTTTTTCCTTCCTTTTTCAGCTTCCGGAGTGTTGGTAGAATGGCCCCCATCAGCACTTTGTTCACCTGCGGCAGGGAGTGTAAACGAGATCACACGTTCAGAAATGAATACTACGTTAGCAAGATATAACGAACCCTTTCACAAACCATGATTTGGAAATTTCGATCAAGACTGGGAACACCTGTCCTGTGGTTGGCGTTTCAAAGCCGCAATAGTGACACTGCGTGCGTTCCAATGAAAGTCGCTGGCCTTCAGCTGCAATACTTCACTGATGCGGGCGCAAAGGACATGTGTTAAAGTAATCGCCACCCACAGCCATGTCGGCCCACATTTAAGGATGTGTAGTCTCCACGCCGTCCAAACAGCGCCTGTCAGCACGGCCGCCTGACCAATCTTTGTGGTCCTTTTCGCCCTTTTGTTCTTGCTTTTCCTTTTTGCCATGAGTTTTTCACACTTGGATTGCTTGAGCTTGGCTTGAGCCTGGTCTTCAGATGGGACATGGGAAGTCGCTAAACAGGATGGTGCAAGGACTTCATACACCTGAGTTAGATTCCAGCAGGGTGATTGTCATGGCTCATTTCATTGTTCCAAAAAGCAGGTATTTTGCAAGGAATTCCTGGGACATCGCCTTTCGGGCATTAGGCGACCTGCCTTAGAGTAGGTTCTGAACAATCACAATACTTTGGGGAGATCAAAAAGGCGATGTCCCATGCTATGAATGAGTAACAACAATGCCCAGCTGAGCACCCCCACCGCCCACCCATCCGAAGAAAGATCATCGCCGTAGGGCCCACCGTAGGGTACCTGACAGCCGCCGCCATCACAGCGACATCCACGCCATCGCAGCGCCAACCCCACCAAACATATTTAGTAGAT